GTCGTACGAATACGCTGTCTGAAGTCCAACATTTGGAATATCCACAAGTTCACTTACGAGTCGCAATCGTCAGGTACGGGCGTACACCGTTTGGACGAATCGATCGAAAATATAGTCTGTTCGGGCGAATAAATATATACCGTTTGGGCAAATATATATACCGTTAGGCGAGGACTATTTAACTAAAAATACCGTTTGGATGGCATAAAAAATGCTTATAATATACACTTAACAATTAATTAAACAAAATTATATAAAATATAAATAATTAACAATAAGTTATATTAAAAAAAAAAATATTGATATGAATATTGATAATATTATTATATATACCATATAACTATATAAGTAGTTAGTAATCTACAGTCAAAAAATTATAAATACAATTACATATAATATAATTAGTATATATTAAAGTAATCTATTGGCTTTGTATGAAAATGCTCATTAATATACATTCAACAATTAATTGAAAAAAATCATATAAATATAAATAATTAATAATAAGTTCTGTTTAAAAAAAAATATTGATATGGATATTAATAATATTATTGTTTATAAGTAGGAAATAATCTACAGTCAAAAAATTAAAATAAAATTACAGATAATATTATTATTTATTAGTAGTTTTTAAAGTAATCTATTGGTCTGATATTTTAAACCTAAACATTTTATGTATTCTAATTGATTAATATCCCCTCTTTTATATTTATTCCATGTTTCTTGTATAAAATCTTTATTTTTTATTAGCAATAATATCATCTGTATCTATCATCAATTTTTTACCTCGCACAGGTAAAAATAATTTCACTCGCCCAAACGATACTCATGATAGTCGCTCAAACGGACTATTATTATTTTGGTCAAAATTATTACCTTCACCCAAACGACCACCACCCTCAGTTACTGCATGAAATGGTTCATATGCATGGCGATAATTTTGTTAGTAATTATTAGTACGAATACTTACAACGTCGAAAAATAATTACACTGTGTGCACCCAATTTACGCGTGTTCCACAAAAATCGAAAACGAATTCCAGATTATAGCTATATACTATGGCTATTGAAATATTTACCTGGGAAATTTCGTATTACGTACAAAAGTACTTATTATATTGACAGAAGAACCCAACCGGACGGTTTGAGGATGTTTTGAACCGTCAATACCACTCCTTCGGTGCGTCCCCGCAGCAGCGGTCTACCTAGGACATTTTGAACATTTAAGAACAATGGGCAATTTGTCTATATGTACAGGGTTTAGTGTAATAAGGACGATTTGTCGCTTTGGACGTTTTCGTATAAGAGACAATTTATCGATTACGAAGTCTTAGCGTAAAGGACAAATTTTTGATTTGGACTTTCTTTCAAAACGTTCGTGAAATAGGACATTTTTCTCTCGCTGTCGACATGCGTGTTTTAATCATTCCACCACCATAATCGTACGTCGATCATCAAATTATTGTTGTTATTATTACTATTATAATTTTTATCGTTTTCATTATTAGCACTTTATCAAAGATTCCTTTGCATAAACTTAACCGAAATTTAAGCTATTCACAAACCCTTGCCAGTTAGAATTTTAAGTTTTCTAGTGTTTGAGGTGATCAATAATTGTGATATAGGTGAAAAATGAGTTCGGAACTTTAAAAAGTATCTCAGTTGTATTTAAATATTGAAATTGTTATTACCTGTTGGTTTCAATATTTTAAAAAAATCAAAATAAACCATTAATTTACACTTAATATTATATGTTCCATGTTTTTATATAGCATGACCAGTATTAAATTAGTTTTAACACAATTACTTTTATAAGATCAAATATGATAAATTATACTCTTAAATAATACTGAACGCTAATTTCCGTAATGCAGGTTAAATTTGAGTGAAAAAACTCATGAGCATATTTGATGTTTTATACAACTGTATTTAATATTATTAAAAATTATTAAAATTGTCAAAATTAATATAATCCAAATTAACTGTAGTAAATAATACCTAGAATGGTGACAATTGAAATTTCTTATTCAAATTTCTATAATTATATTTTTAAGCTTAAGTTTATATAAATTAAATAAATAAAGTTTTAAGAAATGGTAAAATTTTTTGATTAATTTAAAAAGTTATAATTTGTATTACTATGTCTTGATGTACAGAACGCAACTGAACAGAAAACTACGTACTAAAACGGTATTTAAACATTTTCTAAATTCAAAAACTTGGATTGTGTCATAAACGGTTTGATATAATTTGGTATACTAAAAATTCGTTATTATTATATATTAGAACACATGTTCAAGACGGGTCATCTCTAATAATTATTATTAAGAATAAAGTACCAAAACTGTTCATTATATTTTAATAAAAAGTATTTTATTTTCTAAATACAAGTTTACTATAAACTATATAATACATCACCGTCATTTACCCTCATTAAAATGAATTTTATATTTTAAATCATATTTAAGGCAAAATATCAAATGTGATAAAATAAACGACTTATTTTCCATTACTTCGATGCAAATAAATCATTTATTATTCTATCTCATTTTCCATGTTAATTGTCATCTCTGATGTTCAAAGTAGTATTTTTCATCAGTGTGTAGTAACGGCGCCATCAATCAAATAAGATTTTTTTTTTATTTATTTGTCCTCTGAAACATTTAAATTTTGGTATATTCTTAAATCTTGACCTAGTGTCTGCTTCTCTAGTCCTAACGGTACGTTAACTTAGATCTGGGCGTTCTATTGAACACAACCGATCGTCGATTCTGCATGAAAATATTCAGTTGCACACGTGATGCAAGATTCAAAGGTAGAAAAGGAGCCTTTTCTACACACTCATGCACACAAATTACGTTGTTTTAATTGTCTACTATTATCTTAATGTTATTTTTTCATAATTTTATAGGGACCGATAGAAAACTATTTTAATTTATTTTTTTCCAATTATAATCAGTATTAGAACATCTTTTAACTAATTTATTTCACAACGATACATTAAAATATTTTGTTTGTTGAGTGAATAGAAAAAAATATGCATTGGGGGTATATAGTGTGAATTTAATTTCTATATTTATTATTGATATTGAAAAAAATGAAAATAACATTTACATTATTTTTTCAAGTTTTTAACGTATTTTTTACAGTACAACAGAATCCAAGATACTTTTTTTTTTTGATTTTCGTAATTAATAATGTCTTGTTAGTACATAGTTTTCTTTATAATTTGAGAAAATAAAAAGGCTCATGATTTTCCTTCTATTCGGTTAAACTTAAGTGTTTTGGTTAGGTTAGATTAGGTTGATTTTAATGATGTATTTTTATGTATTATATACTAATCAATTAAAATATGAATGTGCAATGATGAAATGATAATGAATGAGTTACAACAAGTATGATGATAAGAGATTTGTGGCCCTCACGCGCAGGTAGACTATAATATTTATATATGTATTCTGTTACACAGTAATAACTATACGTTATAAATAATAAATAACTACACGTTATTTTTTTTTTTATCGCGAATAACTTACTTCTAAATATTATCAACAATACAAAACTAAATATTAATTGTTACAATAGTATAGTATTTATATTGAGTTGGTTTAAAAATATTTACTTAACTATAAATTGTAGTTTTTTAAATGGCTGCAATACGATTGCGCGCGGTCCTTATCAACGGTATCTTTTTAGGTGTACGATTGCGCGTGCTAAATTATTTTTGCTTCTAAGCAACGTTGCCAAATATACAGATTATAGGTGCATGGTAAATATCCGATTAGATTCCGATTGTGGTGATCCGTACGTTATTTATTACTTAATACCGCCGATACCAGACAAACTTTCAATCACTAAGAAGTAGATAATTTTATTTTAGATCATACTTTTATCTTTATTGTAAATTCCCTCACATGTACAAATATACCTAAACTATGATCTCGCATTGTATGTCTATACGTATTTACTGAAATGTCAGTTGTGTTCGTGTTCATGTTTTACCTGTCAACGTATATTTTTCGCATTGTTAACAATTTATAATTAATTTTTTAAAATGGAAAATAAAATTTTCATAATAAGTTCAGAAAGGGGGAGTGATTTGTTAGTGGTGAAGAAACACAAATTTCGACACATCAGACAGCGGGCAGATGGAAATAACAGATGGAAGTGCTGTAAAAAACAGTGTATTTGTACAGTCTTAATGACAAGTGACAATAAAATAATGATAGAAATTGCTGGTGAGCATAACCACCTTGTAGATTCTACTCAAAAAATCGAAAGACAAGTTCTAAGGGAAAACTGTAAACGTAAAGCTACAAGTTCCATAGCTACCCGGCCAATAAAAATAATTAGGAGTCAACTTATAAATAGCGTGATAACCGAGTTAGAGTATAATGATATAAAATCAGTTAGAAAGGCTATGTATATTCAACGAAGAAAAAACTTTCCTCCTTAACCTTCATCTTTAGAAAATGCCATTACGCAACTGAACGAATTACAAAATGAAGATTTTTTAATGTTTAGAGGGAAAAAATTTATACATTTACCCGATGATTGCACTTTTATTTGCTTAATAACTGAAGAGAATCTTCAATGTTTGTCAAGTTGCACAGATATATTTTCGGACGGAACATTCGACTATGCTCCAAAATTTTTTTTGCAATTATACACCATTCATGGCTATAAAAACGATGTTTACGTACCTTTGGTATACTTTTTTTTAAAGGATAAATTTAAAAACGCAAACATAAATGTATGGAAATATTTAATTAATATATGTGAAAAGCAATCACTACTTTTTAAAATTGAAATATTACACATTGACTTTGAAATTGGTGCTATTCAAGCAACAAAAGAAGTTTTTCCGGATGTCAAAATTAAAACATACCGTTTTCACTTAGGACAAGCTTGATGGCGCAAAGTAAGTTGAATCAATATGAATATTTTTAGAAATAATTAATCAAAATCAATTTTCAGATTAATGGCAATACAAATTTAAGAATGGCATACAACGATCAAAAGAATGATTTACAATTATGGCTTAAATCATTTTTTGGACTTTCTTTCATCGCTCCAGATGACGTGGAGGATGATTTTGTAGAGCTTATAAGTACGTGTCCAAATACTACAGATGGACAATTATTTTCTGACTATGATTTGGAGACGTATGTTGTACCTGGTTGTTTATTTCCACCTATTTTTTGGGCTGAAACGCCATCACTAAATCCTAGGTATATATTTACTAATAAGTCAAAAAAAAATATTGTTTACTATATTCATATATTTCAGAACTACAAACGGGGCTGAAAGTTTCCATAGAACATATAACACCCAGTTTACTAGTGCTCATCCTCCAACATCTGTTGTTACAAGTACGCTTATGGAAACTCAAGCAGAAACCGTCACTAAATTATCAACCATTTCCAAAGGAAAAATCAAGCCAAAATCAAAGGAAGAACTAAAAATAATCGAATTTGTGAGTAAACAACACGAACAATATCTAAAAAATAAAACACCAGAAAACTTACATAAGTATTTAACCATAATTGGAAATAGGTATCAGGGCTTTAAAATTTAAATTTTTTTCGATATCTATTCAAATATTTTATATTATTTTATTACAACGATTTTTTTATTGAATTAGACTGAGTGTGAATATAAAGTATCTGTTATTTTTTGTAATTATTTGTACTATTTAACCTAAACACATATAATTTAATACATACCTTTTAACATACAATACACATACAATTTAACCTAACAACATATACGACAAATAACAAATTTTTTTATAATTTTTTTAATAATAATAATTATTTTAAATTTTAATAATAAGTTGACAACGTCGCATCCAATTTCACGCGCAATCGTACGCTTTTGAATAATCAAAAGCGTGTTCTTTGTTATTCCGGTACCGCGCTCAATCGTCTCCATTGTTTTAAATATGCATGCATATAGTAATTTTATATCCATGAAAAATATTGCGCATATTATTCAATGAACTTTAAAAAGATATTTTTCGTAAGAAAATAAGAAATTTATAATCTGTATTATTTTAAAGTACAAATTTTGAAAATTTCAATTTTGTTGTTAGTAAAATAGATTATAATTATAATATTTCTATACATGTCTTCGTAGAAAATGTCATTAAAAAAAAATTATTTGGAAAATATTTTGAAAATTGTTATTTTTTCTTGGAACTGAATTCGGAAAAATATAAATGTTTGAAAAAAGTTTTCTCTAAGCTTTGATATATTATAATGTGAAATTTTCCTATCCTTGACATTCGAGGAGAATTAAGTCTCGTATTTCGGGAAGTATATGTTCCCTATTGAAACGGGAAAATATACATATACGTGTCTGCCTATTCTGTATTTAGGAATATTTTTAAGAGTTTTATATTTCAGAACGGTGACGAATAAATAGAGATTTTCACTGCGTTCAAACTTTTTCGTTAAATACTCGTGAAGAGTATTTGAAACTTTTGATAAGTTACTACACTATTTATAAGGTTAAAATAAACCCTATTGGAATTGTCTTTTCCGAACTGAACCTTTTCGTACACAGGAATATTTTATTCTGATCACATTGTACCCGGGTAGTATAAACATGATCTTTGCATTCAATATATACCAATTAAAATACGTACATTGACTAACGTGCAATAAATGTCTGAATTTCAAACATGTATTTGTTATTGTTTTTAAAACGGTAGCTTTAGTGAAAATATATGTATAGAAAATATTTTTTGACAATCATGATCTTGTCAAAATATACATATTTACACGATTAATTAATTCTAAAGCTTCAATAACGAAAAACTTGTAATTATGTTTTAAATTTAAATTTATTCAGTTTTTAAAAAAAATATATAGCTCGAAAAAAAATTGTTTCTATTAAAATGTTGAATATTTATAACGATGGTTTGGTTACTGAACTAATCGATTTTTTGCTGTCGTTTATGCAGCCAGCCGAATTGTTTTACTATTATTTTTTCGTCGTTGTGTTTTGCAGTTTAATTTTATTCGAACTAAACAGCATATTGTACATGCCTAATGTGTTTACAATCCATACTGCTGCCCGCATGCATTAATATCTGCGTACATTTTTTACCACTTTCATTTTTATTTCCGTTCAAGAGAAATCATTTTTTCTAATCGATTGCACACTTTTAATATACAAGTATTATCATTAGGTGTACCACGAATGTTATTTTGTTGGACTCCGTACCATTTTTCTTATCAGTTTAGTAAACCATGCATACCATCGAATAGCGAATTAATTACGCCCATCCGTTGTAATATATTATTACGTTACGTTCAACTCTTTAACGTTGGCCCAGTCCGCCGAAGAACAAACAAAATCAATTTCCATACATTTATTTTATTAAATCTGTGAAAAAAATATGTAAATATTATTATCTCGTCGTTCGTCCAGCGCACATAACTCGTTTTACATGTTTTCTCGTTTTATTATTTTTTAGTGAAACTATATAATATTACAATATTAATGTAAGAATTCGAGCATCATCTGAGTTAAATATTTCGTTTTGTATACGATACATCAGATCTATTCGAAATAGTATGGATCATTGTGTAATGAAAAATATCACATTCAAGTTGGTTTATAGAAAAAATATTTATGTTGGTTTTACAAAAGTACGTGCATCTATTGGGTATACTTTTTGTGTGATTATTTTTAGATATTGATTTGCTTTTCTTCATTAAACTATGTAAAAATAGTTGTTTACCCGATTTTATTAGTCCAGAAACTATATTATAGACCATGAAACTTTTAAAGTCTTTAGACGAGTATTTTTTCTAATATGAGAGGAAAACTGTGAACAAATTTAATGTCGTAATAATAAGGACATATGCTTATACATCTTAAAACGTATATTAAGACGGTGCCACAATAAGCTCATAAAAACAGTAATACAGCCGTCTTGACTATTATTTTCACTTAAGTTTGATTCGAAGTAAACTTTTATTATATTTTATTGATATTTACTCAGAAATGTTTTTACTTTGTTCAACATAATAAACGTGTACATAGTCATTAGATGTAGTTTATGATATAATTTACATTTTAAATCGTGAAACTTAAGTATTGAAAAATAATCCGACCAAAAAAAAGTAAAAAAAAAAAAAAAATACTGTAATACCTAGTATTAGTATGTAGTTATGTAAGTTGTATGCGTATAAAATTTACATTTCAAATTGTGAAACTGAAATATTGGAAAATAAACCAACTAAATATAAAGAAGATTAAAGAAGATACTTTAGTTTTTAATATAAGGGCATTGTTATGTAAGTCTTATGCATTAATAAAAATTAGAAATCGTTGGTAAAAAAAAAAAAAAATGTTGATGTAATATGTAGGTAATGTGTAAATATACAACTCTTTGTTTATTATTTATTATTATATGACTCAAAACAAAAATAACTCTAACTTGAAAGTCTTTAAACACGTAAGATAAAACTGTTAATATTTATTTAAAAATATTTATTTTTTTTATATCATATATGAAATATTTAAACGCTGAAAATAAAATAAAAACTATCAAAATTATATTTATTTATGATGTAATGCTTAAATATAAAAAATTAGCAAAGTTAAACCAACTCAGTTTTAAGTGTTAAATAAATTGATGAAGGGTATTATGGTTATTACAACCAGTTATTACAACCAGTTCTTATACCGAATACCGCAAAATTATTCATTAAATCAAAAGAGTAATACAATAATATCACTTACGGGTATCCATATTTACATATATTATTTTTTCAAATTTTCACTGAACTTAAGAGAATTAAACCATTTCCTTTTTATAAAATTGTTGCGCATCAAATTTTGAATCTAAAATTATGAATTATTCACATTATTATTTAAAAAAATAAAACAACATTAATATGATGAATACATTTTGCTTCCTATAGTATTCAAATTTCAAACATCTCCACAACAATAAATATGTAGTAATTAAAATAAATAACTAGTGCAATATATATATAATTTTAATACAATATACAAAGACTACAATGATACTGCATATTTTAATGAATTAAAATTAATGGTTTGGGAATTATAATTATTTTACACTGTTATAAAACGTTGAATGAATATTGTGTTTTTAATTAAGAACACGGGTTTTTGTATCAAACAAATCAATTGCACTGAAATAGTTTTGTAAGTGATTTCTTTGAATATGAAGAAAAAAGAAAAAATGCTGGTACTGTGTTATAAAATGTCATCAATCATTTATAATATAATATTTTATAAAAATTGAAAAAAAGGTTTATGGCTTGAAAATGTGTAATAGTATTAAAAGATGTTTAACTATGAGTATATTATAAGAATATTAGGCTGAGTTCATTTTATTCTAAGACTTAATACTTCATAACTTCATTCTTTTCACACACAATATCTTTATTTATAATTTAATTTTTAAAAGTTATTTGAAAAAAAGAAAAAAAATTATCAAATACTTGAGTAACTAATTTGGGTACACACTCATAAAGTTTTTAAAATTTTTATTACGTGAAATATTTAAATTATGTTTAAGTAATAATTTTATGAATATAATGATTCATTGGTATTTTTAAGTTAGAATAAAACATAATATCAATACGATTGAGGATAAACTCTGGGTTGCAGAAAATAATCTATTTTTCTTCTTTTCCGATTACTTTGTGTTGTAGATGAAATAAAAATATTTTACTTGGTTCATAAATTGATTCAAAATTAGATATTGACGAAAAAATCAAGTTTTTGATATAATATATTTTAAAATAAAATAAATGTAATTTTTTAATAAATTGTAAATTTATTGTTTATTTCTGTTTAACTTACTTTAGCTTTAACTTTTACTGGCTTAAAGAAGAAATAATAGTTCTACAGATTTTTTTTTATATTTATGAAATAGTAAATTTACAATTTATATTTAAATATATGTACAATAAGTAAATTATTTGAAGTTTAAAGATCTATACATTACATTTTGAGGAAACTACTCATTAGTAGCACATCTGAATTTGTTAATATATAATTACTTGTTATGTACATATGCATTTGGTTTTTTTTTTTTTTATAGTATTCTGATGAGATTTCCACGAATCGTTACGAAGGACATTTCGGAAATAAGTGGATTTTTGTTATTTGTCAGTTTGTTTTGAAATTTGTTGTAGAATTGATGAGCAAGTTTTTTGAGAGTTCGAGTATTTAGTTCTTTATGTAAGCTTTGATTAGTGACGTACAATAGATATCCAGTGATAAATCGTGAACAAATTGACCGAAAATGTTCAAAAGGTTTTATGTTTGATAGTTTAGCTAGTCTCGCAGATTTAAAGTTTAGATTATTAATATTTATTATTTTTTAAATAAAAATAATTTTCAAAATATTTGGTGTCGTTTTAAAATATTTTTAAGATTAGAATTTTAAAGCTTATAACGTTAAATGTAAAATGGTAAAACGTACCATATTTGTTAATAAATAAATAATAATAACAATAATTAAATAAAATAATCCGATAGTTATGATCCTAGGTGATAAATAGTGAAACGAAAAATATCATTATG